TTTAGAATAACTGTTATCCCCTTAACCTTTATAAATAATTCAGTCTTCACCCTCAAAACTTATTATAAACTATATTCATGGTAAAACCTACCTTCTAGAGTATAGTTTGTAATAATAGTACTGATAGGTATCAAAGAACTCTTCATCCTTGTTATCTTTTCAAGTTCCATTTACATATATACTTATTATGAAAATATGTGTAGTATAGAGATATTTTCCAGTCTATATAAACAAAAAAAATAACAATAATCATATATTTCACAAGCTTCTATATAGATCATACCTGTGATGTGATTAGTTAATAATTTTTCTATTATTAATAGTTTTTTAATTATGTTAGCATTATTCTGATTATAAATTACTACTCTAAAGTATGTATGCTAAATTTATTATAAGGCTTAATTTTATGATATTTTCAAATTTATTGCTATGTGATCAGTTACATACATGTGAACTTTTAATATAGATATCTCACTTTATTTATACATGTGAAAAATATAACATTATATATTTAGTGATATTTTATATATTAATGATAGGATAATATAGGTAAGAGCTATCACTATAAAATTCTATATCACCACATATAATAAAATTATGAAATATTTTTCTTAATGTAAATCAGAAATATACTAAAAATCTACAGATTTCTTTTACTAATATTTAATAACAATAAAAATATATTTAATATCTGTTATGTATTACTATAATAGTATTACTTTAAGAATCCTTTATAAATCAAAAATATCTATATATTAAATAAAATGCAAGTATTGATTACAAAGACATAATTATTTTCATAAAAGTACAAAAGTATCAGTATGATAATATTTGTTATACTATATAACAAAAATAATAGAATTAGATAGTATCTTCCTTCAGAAAATTTATAATTATTTTTAATTAAAAGAGCTTATTCTATAATATAAAAGAGTAAGAATAATGAAAAAATAGAATGCTTAAATTATATCAATAATTTTATTGAATATTTATATACCAGTAAAAACTTCTATGTTATCAAATCTAGTAAGTATTTGAATCTTATAATTAATAATAAAGAAAGTCAAGATAGAAACAAGTATATTTACATTATCTGATATAGCTTACATTTTTATTTACTTGAGTATATTACATTCTGAAGTAAGACTAAAAGATAAAATTTTTACTTTAATATATGTTTTTATATTATACAGTAGACTAGATTATATAAAATATAAACATTAAGCTCTATTCATAATACTTAATTATCTAGGTTATATAATTACAATTACATATATATGTGATTAATTGATAATTGAAATTTTCTGGTTGATGATTTAAGCCAAACATCTCTTAAGAGACATAAACTCAGATAATTTATTTCTAAATATTCTTGCAACTCCATATAATTGAATACTCCAGTTACTATTTCATACTACTTATAGTATTCAGAGTCTTAATCAAGAAACTGATTTTTAAAATTGAATAGTACCTTCAGGTATTGTGTATAGAACTAAATACTATTGTAAGGGGGATATACTATACAGGGGGTACTATATTTTGGAAATATTATATATAAAAATACACAAAGTGTAACAAATGTGAAAGATTTTCAAATGTGAGATTTAAATTATTTCTTAAAAAATCTAATATAATTCTTAACTTTTAATATAACTAAAATACCATGAGAAAATCTTAATGTATAATAAACAAGAAATACACAAAAAAAAAGATGTTAATAGAATATACGTGAAAAATTAATAATTATATTATATCAAAAAAATAAATATAGTATATAGACAATAGCAAATAAATATGAAATCAAATTAAAACAAATTCAAGATTAGGAAAAAAAGAAAAATAATCTAATATATGTAGCATCTTATATCTAATAACTTAATATTGATGTATATTCTAAATATCCAGAACTCAAAAATGAACTTCTAGAATAGTTTTGTGAATTAAGATAACAATTAAAGACTGTTACTTAGTATATGATTAGTACAAAAGTTCATAACTTATCATATAAACAATATTATATTATCTTATATTCAAGTATTCATAGATGCCAATTTTCATAAAAATGGATTGATAGATTTATATCTTGGTATTTGTTGATAAATCATTAATGTACTATAATTATATAATAATTATTTGAAGAATATCTTAAAGATCAGCAAAATTTTTTATTATTTATTCTTTACTGATGAACTAAGTATGATTATCCTTTAAAATTGATTAGAAATATAGATGAAACTCTTATGATATTCAATTTACTAAATTAAATAACTATTAAAGAATATGAAATACGAATCATCTCAATTCTCATAACAGGATATGAATGTACTAGTTTTACAGTAACTCTTGATTATCTTACAGATGATATTAAACTTCCACCTTTTATCATTTTTAAATTAGTTAAAGTTTTATGAAAGTAATTTTCTGAAGGTATATTCATTCATGTAAATCCCAGCAAATGGATAGATAAAAAGAAAATGATTTGATGGTTGGAGAATATATGGAGTCAACAAGCTAATTAAGGTTCAAATCTGTATTCTCTTCTTATTCTGGATTCATTTACTAGTCACAAGACAGACTCTGTAAAACACTATTTTTATGAGAAAAATACTAACATAGCTATTATTCCTAGTAGATTAATTTTATATTTACAACTATTAGATGTATTCTTAAATAAATTATTTAAAGCTAAGATTAGTTTTTATAAAATTTTTTATTTTTTTTGTGCTATTTTTTGATATCTTGTCAATAGATATACTATATCTATAATTGTTAGATAGATAAAGCTATTAAAGAATATACTTCAACAGGTAAAATCAAGTGATCAGTATACTCACTTATAGCAAATTGGATTAAAGAAGCTTGAGAAGCAATTGATTTTGCAATGATTTAGTAGTCTTTTAAATGTTATGAAATTTCAACAAGTATAGATGATTTAGAAGATAATTTGATTTTTGATTTTGAGAAAGTATGAGGAGAAAAAGGTGTAGAAGTCAGTATTGAAGAAGAAGATAAAAGTAGTAAAATTAGTATAAATGAAGGAAATGAAAATATTAACTTGGAAGATAGTGAAGAATATGAATATTATGAACAAGAAGAAGAAGAAAATTATGTTAATATTTGAAATTAGTTATAATTAGCAATAATCTGTAATTAAGATAGAATTATAACATATCACTAAGATTTTTTTTATTGCCATTTCTTTTAATTAATCAGATTATTATATAAAGTCAGTATGATAATTTATTTGCTCATTTCATTTATATATACAGTAGTATTTCAATAGTGTTTGATCTAAAAGTTTATATTTATTACTTATTGTATCTTTATAATATTTCAATAAGTAATTTTAATCAATATGTGATAAAGATCTTTAAGATTTTGCTCTTATGTACAGAATTAGTTGAAACTTATTTACCTAAAGTATCATTCATTTTTTTTTATTCAATTATTTAAGTCTATAATTATTGTCATACCAAATAAAAGATAGTGATAATTTTCTCACCTATTTATTAATACGAAGGTGATCAGATCACAGTTTGTATGCACAATACTATTTATAGTAAGCTTAAAATTTGAATTACATTTTGCTTTATTTATACCTGGATACTAATCAAAGTTTGAGCATAATTTAATTGAATAATATCCAGATACTATTCAACATGAGATTAACTAAGGTGATGAATAGTATCTAGGTCTTAATCATGAGAGATATTATTTTTAGAAGATACTGTAAGTAGTGTGAAATGGTATATTATCTGTAGATTTATTCATAACTCTAATAAAACTATTCCTAGAATCATATATATTCTATAAGTTGAAGTACTATATTTATCAACTATTTTCTTGCATATATTTTTAACTGTCTCTTGAAATTGAATAATTTTCTCAATAGCTTGTGATGATAAATAAAGAAAATCAGTACAATAATACTTTACAGTTATATGTTACATTCTTTTATAATTATAAAAAATTATTGAAAATTATTGAAAATATTAAAATATACCTATATTTCTTATATTAAAAAATTATCAGTAATTATAGATAATTACATACTTAATATTTAATAATTTTCTAAAAAAATTAGTAATTATCTATTATTATTAAATTATATTGAAAGTGTAATTTCTTTGATAGTATTACCAGATAATTATAGTGAAACTAATGTCTTTAATACATATTTTATCATATATATATTCTATATTTTGTTATTTTTCATAATAATTCTCTTTATTTAATATGGCCAATATGATAGATCTAAGAAAAAATTATATAATATCCTTCAAGATTCTTCTGAGATAGTTTTATATAATGTCAAATTGTGGAATAGATATGAAAAACAAGAAAAAAAATTAATTAGGAGAGAGAACAATGAGATCAAAATAGAAAAAAGTGAGATAAAAAACTGAGAGAGACTAATATTGAAATTCAAAAATTATGTACTCATGATCTGGAACTTATTAATGAAACTAGATATCTACAGATTGAAAATGCTTGCAAAGATATCTCTCTTGCAAAATTCAAGGCTAAGTATATTACAAAATTAGAGAAGATTAAATTACTTCAGAGTGAAATGAAATTATTAAAAGATAAGTTAGATTTATCTCAAAAGAACTCATCAAAGAAAGGATCTGAAATTGAGTCTCTTAAGTCTAAGATAGTTGAATTAGCTTTAAAAATTAGTAAATTGAAGCATCTGAAATCTGAGAATATATCAGAATCTATAGGCTCTATGAGCCATTGCTCTGCAATAATTAGTGGAGATGATGAGAGAAAGAGTTCCATTATTTTCACAATAAAAAATATTACTAAGTCTAATAATATATTTTTGGATAGTACTGATCTCAGTAAATATTTTATATGTAGAAAAATATGAATTCAATAGAAAAAATTGATGATAAGATTACCAAACTATCAAAAAATAATATCAAGATCAACTCTAAGATAAGTGATAAAACTAGCATTAGCAAAATTAGTGAGGATATTATATCCCAAACTCAAGAAATAAAAAGTATGAATTCACATCTTACTCAACAGGAAAATAATATATTCTCTTTAATTGAATCATATTTTCATATGAGATCTAATCTCAAGACTTTGTCTCTTTCTGTTATAGCAAGTACTTTGATATTACCTCTATTAATATATATTTTTCTTATTCTATTAATTATTATAATTATATAGTTTATAATATTAAGATATATATAGAATATAGATAGGTTCAAAGAGTTATTACTTCATAATAAAAAAATAATCAGTTATGGAATATATAAATAAGATAAACAAGGTTATCTATTTGAATTTCATTGCTTGATTCTAAATATTTTATATAAAATAACTATTAATTTTTTTCAAACTTGACAGAAAAAAGAAAAAAGAGCATGAGAGTATGGATAAGATTACTTTTCTGGAATATAAGCAAAATTTTGAGACTAAAATAAAAGTTTTTACTACTCCACACAAAAAAGAATTGAAAAATAAATCTCTAGTAATTATTGAATATGTATAATCATTATAAATCTTTTAATAAAGCAAGCATAAGATACTAAGACAATATCATCTAGTTTTAGTAGTAATTTCTGAAGTAGAGAGATTACTATATTTAACTAGTTATTTATCTCAGATAGAGAATTTTTGTCATTTCTTATAATGAGTAAGCAGAAAAATTCAAATCAAAAATTAATATTTGATATCCTATCTTTTCACAGTAATCACTTAGATATGTAAGTATTATTATTCTACAATAAGTCAGAAAAAATTAGATAATATATATAATAAATAAATTAGCTATACATATCTAAACATGAACTTGTGAGTGAACAGGATTTTTTGTATTGCATGATTTTGATTAAGATAAATTTCAGATAAGTACTTTTGATATATAAGATATATATTTGATAATTATTTTTGCATTATCTAATTTAGATATTAATAAAAATAATACTTCAAAATATTGAAAAGTGATACTCTAAAGTTTTTGAATTAGTGATACTTCAGGTATCATTTTCTGATTATAAATAGTGTTCACATTTTTTGATATATATTTGATAATGATATTCCAAAGTTTTCAATATAGTATTATTTCAAAGTTTTCTATAGTGTTATCTCAAAGTTTTCTATAATGTTATCTCAAAGTTTTTGATATAGTATTATTTCAAAGTTTTCTATAGTGTTATCTTAAAGTTTTCTATAGTATTATCTCAAAGTTTTCAATATAATGATATTTTGAAATATATAAAAAATATGATTTAGATATCAGTATAAGCCAGCTAAATACTGAAAAAAGATGATATCTCAAGATATAATTATTATAGAAAGATATATAATATATAAAATTATACTTTGGGATTACATATAAATAGGTATCAAAAAAAAGTAATATTCCAAGATATAATTATTACAGAAAGATATATAATATATAAAATTATACTTTGGAATATCAACAGATATATTAACAATTTGGCACTACATATCTCATCATCAGATACTTTGGTGTATTATCAGATATAATAACAATTTGGCACTACGTGCCTCATTATTGGATGCTTTTACATATCACCAATAGGGATAACAATTTGGCACTATGTGCCTCATTATCGGATGCCTTGGGTATTACCAGATATGTTAACAATTTGGCACTACATGCCTCATCCTTGATCGATACTCAAGTGCATTATAATAATTAGCAATTCGGCATTATGTGCCTCATTCTCAGGTGATATTCAAATGAATTATGTGAAGCTAACAATTGTCAACAATTTGGCACTATGTGCCTCATCATCGGATGCTTTGGTGTATTACCAGATATGTTAGCAATTCGGCATTACGTGACTCATCATCAGATGCTTTGGTGCATTACCAGATATGTTAACGATTCGGCACTACGTGCCTCAAACTTGGCCCTCATTGAGGAATTAACTAGAAAGCTAAGGCACTACGTGCCAGGTTCAGGCATAGCCCTCACATCGGGCCCGCAAATGACGACATGCAACTGAATGCATCGTTAGCATATTTTTTATAGATCGTGAGGTATCTAAATGTGACGATGTGAACACAAATTCGTCGTCATATTTTTTATAACCTAAATGTGACGACAAACTCGTGAACCAATCGTCACTCGAATGACGAGGCAAATGTAAAACGCTCGTCATACCTGAGGCTATTATAGTCTAATCTAAGTCGTTTTGAGTTTATATAAACTCAAAACGACTACTCTCTGTGAGGTTTAAGAAGTTACAAAATTCAGCCATAATAAATTTCAATTTGGTAATGATTTTGGACTCTTTATTCATAAATAATATCCGAAATGATCTTGAAAAAAAATAATGAATATGAAAGTGATAAAGAGGTTGAATTTGATTCTTCCAGTTATAAGATGACAATTAATAGATGTTTAAAAACGTATCATTTCTTTATAAATCGATTAATATGAGACTTGAAAATAATAACTAAAATAATAATAATGTACTCTTCTTTCATTCTAGTTTTATGCACAGTTATATCAATGATCGTATATTTTATAATGTATTGGGATTGCATGTGAATAAAGAACCATGTGATTAATGATTAGTAATATAAGTGGTGCCAGACCTATAATAAAAAAATCTTTGGATATAGTGAATAATGAATTTTTACTAATAGACCCGGGCCATTCGTTATATCGAGATTCAAACTTTCCTAATTCGAAGAGATGAAAAAAGTGCTATCACGCGCATAAATCTATTAATTAAAATGTTGGGAGTATAATTTTTGTCCTCTCATCCAGCACTTTACCCTCTAATCGGACAAATTTTAAATAATGTAAAATTTTGAAACCTTTTTTTGAATCAGTGTCCACGTGATATTTGATCTTGGTAGTAACTCAAATCCTCTTAGGAAACAGCTTTTGATGCTCAAAGTAAAATGAAAGTTTGCTATATATTTGAGGTTGTTACAATTTTTTCATTTTACAATTAGATTCATCTTTAAAAATCAAATCTATTAAAAATTCAGTAACTTTGGTGGGCGCGATATCTCAACGTCCGACAGTCCAATTTGAAGAACCATTCAATTGATCTAATTTAGACGAATCGAATGGTTTTCTGTTTATTCAAATTGGACTGTTGGACGTTGAGATATCGCACCAAAGTTACTGATTTTTTTCTAATTTGATTATCACACATTTTCGGTTTGCAGTAAATTAGACATTCCGGTTTTGTTGCCCATATAACGATAATATTTAATAATGATACAACAAAGACATTCGCGACGCGCGTTAACTGATTGTCGAAAAAGATTTACGACTTCGTTTTTGATTCATACGTGGATAACAATGAACTCGTGTGTGAATTTTTTATTAACATAATTCATAATTGCCCTATGAAAGATTAAATAAACTTTTTGGAGAACTATAGTTTCTTTTTTTGATTGATAAATTGATGGTTGATTTCCGCTGTGACTAAATAATAGCATAATAATTTATTTTGACTACAAAATAATTATAAATACCCCCGTCGGTCAATAATCACAGGTCGCAGTAATTGCAGTAATAGTAATTCCTCAAAGTTTTCCGGTGTCAGATTAATCAAAAAGGTTGATGAATTAGATCGAAATTCCGCGATATAGAATTAATAAATACTCGCTGTGTATGTTTCGTGAGTTTATGCTTTGCTTCTAAAATAAAATAAAAAAAATGAAAACCTTAAGGTGCAAAGTAAGAAACAACCAACCATTGACTTTTTATTTTTATTTTTTTTTTAATAATTTTAATTAATTCAGCAACAAAAAAATAAAATAAATCTTAATTTTATACATTAACGGCAAAATGTCGATAATTTTCTTTCCACTCTCTCTTATGTTTCACGAAATTTGGTCTTTTTTCGCTAGATTCTTTGGTATGTTTTCATTTCAGCTATATATTATTTTTTTTGGACATTATCACTATTACAAATTTTTATTATTCAATCCTAGACTCAAAAAAGATATCTCCTCAAGAAGAACAGGAAAATAATCAAATAATCCCATTAGAAGACGACCAGAACAACAACAACCAAGACAGTCAAAACTCTACTCCCGATACCGAGAATCACAACACCAATAATACGGCTACAACTACGTCAACGACCGAAGAAATTCCTCCGTCTCTGAGGATGGGAATTGGGTCTTCAACTGAACAACAACAACAACAGCAACAACAAAAATCCCATCAAATAAACATGAGTCGTAATAATAGCAATTATTCTAACCCTACCTCAAACAACCACCAACGTAATTTTCATTCTGGTGGAAGTAATCAACCTAATCCACATAGTCAACTCAGTCAACTCAGTCAACAACAACAACAACAACAACATCCGAATACTAGTTACCTAGAACAAAAAGGTAAGGATAGATACTAGAAAAAAAAATTATTTTTATGTATAATTAATAAGATTTACGTTTCAAATTTGAAGCAACAGGCGGAAGCTATGATCATTCGAGCAGGCATGAACACTTTCGCAGAGAATCAAGTAATTTTAAGTCATTACCATTTGTGTATGATTCCCCCCCCCCCTTTTTTTTTAATAATAATACTTCTTTTAGAAGAAAAGGTGAATTGCGGTGCACGTCTTAAGGAACTTCGTAGATGTCTCGAGTATGGTGTATGGACTCCAAATACTGCTAAAACTAACTATCGTTATTGATGATCAAATAGTGCATGCAAAGTAAATAAAGTTAATATGTACCATGTATGATGTTTAAATGGAAAACTCCATTTTTCTAGAATTTAATTTCGTTAATTAAAATAAATTGCCTGATTCGCACGTTATACACCGATACGTCAATTTATTTCGTACATTACGTATTTTCGATCATCCATCCATTATCCGCAGAATTTAATTAAACTATCCTTCAAACTTTTTCTTCTTGTCCCGAATTCAAGTTCCAGCATAAATTAAAAAATTATGGACGCTAATTCCAATTTTTCAGTTTCAGACGTGTGTGACGCGCACTGTCACCCACAGTACGATAAAGAAAATCTCGACGCGATTGCGAATTTGAACATTGCAAAGCTGTGTGTTATGGGAACTAATTCGCACGATTTGGATACTGTTTCGGAGTTGTCGAAAAAGTTCCCGAATAAGGTGATTCCATGTTTTGGTAAGTATAAATAATGTCTTTTTTTCAAAAAAAAAAAAAAAAAAGCATTCATCATCGATTGATTTAACCCAAAAAAATTACAAACCTAAGGTTTTCATCCGTGGTACGCACATACACTAACACTTCAAGAAGGAAAGGTAGATAAAAATTCACACTATCGCACCGTATTTCAACCAACACCAACCGCGACCACAATTAATAATGACAAGGATGATCAACTTGACGCCTTGATTCCCCTCCTTGAAGAACCAATAATATTCAAAGAGTGCCTAAACAAACTGGAATCTCTTCTCAAAACACATACATCTGCACTAGTCGGTGAAATAGGATTAGACAAATCTGCGCGTCTAAAACATCCGGAAACCCTAAAGCTCACCGTCTATCAGTCAAACATTCAGCATCAACTCGCATTATTCGAAGCGCAATTCGATATTGCGGCAAAGTATCAACGAGCAATCAGTGTACATTGCGTTCAGACAACAGGTTACATAGCTGATTTGATTCAACGTAAGATCAAACAACAGCAAGAACAAGAAAAGGAGGACAATAAGAGCCCGCAACCACTCTTACCTCCACGTATTTGTTTGCATTCTTACGGTGGATCTGTCGACACGATAAGAAGTCTCACAAAGAAACCAAGTAAACGGCAATTAAAGAAACAAAATAAGATCACCTCTTCCGCTGATAATCGAACAATATCAAAATCTAATGAGGAATGTGAAATCTATATCTCTTTTAGCAGTGTAATTAACGGACGTTACGCGAGATTAGGCGAACTGATTAAAGCGGTTCCAGATGATAGACTTTTGATCGAGAGTGATTTGAATTCTCCAATTGAAATTGAAGATCACATGAAAAGAATTATCGAGATCGTTAGTGAGGTTAAAGGTTGGCAGTTCCAGGAAACTGCTAATATCACTAGATCAAATTTCTCGAGATTTATTGGAGAGGGAATTGAAAATCAATGACCCTAATAATTTTATGATAGAGTAATGTAATGGGTAAATCAATTGCTGCTTTTTTGGTTTAATTAATGCGAAATGTATTAGCGCTTTTTGTGAATGAATAAAATTTTATTTTGCGATAATCATATGATCTATTCCATTATTTACTTTTACTTGCATAAAGGGATCGAGAGTATCATTATTAGGAAACAGTCGCTATCTATCATTCATTATTCACAGCAGATATGGCAGCAGTAGAACCTACTAAAGCACAGATACAAGAAATCTTTCAAAAGTTTACCGCTCAACGAGCAAATAAGGTTTATACATATTTTCATAAGGAATAACTCTTCGTTATTACTGAAAGAACAAATGCAAGGAATAAATCGATATTTCTTATGTGGATGATATTTGATGCATACATAGGTTTGCTTTGACTGCAACGCTAGAAATCCTACCTGGTCAAGTGTCACCTTTGGAATCTATCTTTGCTTAGATTGTTCTTCCGTTCATCGAAATTTGGGGGTTCACATTAGCTTTGTGAGGTATGAATTTGCCATTATTTCTGAACGAAATAAGAATTTATTTTTCCTTTCTTCTCAGCCTGTCTTCCAAACACAATCAGTAATAAAAAAAAAATCTTGATATCTATTCTCTCGAATATTCTGACATCATGTCTAATATAAATAAAGATCAATTTCCCTAGACTCTTGGACATGGGACCAGCTTCGGGTGATGAAAATGGGTGGAAATATTGCGGCCACAGAGTACTTTGCAAAACATGGGAATTCGTCAACTATAAATAAAAAAGACGTGAAATCAAAGTATACTTCACGAGCTGCGTTGAAATACAAAGAGGAATTATTAAGAAGAGCTAAAGAAGATGCTATAAAGTAATTGATTATTTTATTGATCGTGTTGACTTGAATAATTCCACGTTCAATATTCTAATCTCTCTCTCTCTCTCTCTCTCTCTCGTATAGGCATCCTGAATTTGACGTGGCAGTAGAGCATAACGAAGACGATCATCAACAATCAAATTCTGCAAAAGATGACTTTTTCGAAAAACTTGAAAGTCAAACAACGTCAATAAAAGAATCATCTACTACTACTACTACGACCACTGGTACTCCACAAGCAAAACCCATAATAAACACTGCAGAACAAAATCCTCCCCAAAGTTCTACTACTCCTAATACAACAGCATCCGCTGTTACTACGACGACAACTATCTCTCAAAAAACCTCAACTACCTCCTCCAATCGTAAACCAAATTTCGCACGCAATAAAACACAAGGTCCCAAAAAAAATAAGTTAGGATTAGGCGCCGTAAAGATGCAAGTGAACATGGAAAAAGAAGAACAGAAAGCAAAAGAAGAAGAAGAATTAACGGCCAAGAATGCCGAGTTTCCTCTTAAAGATGAAAAAGATAGTAAAAAGCCAGATTTTTTGGATGACAAAGGATTAACTTTCAATCCTCGTATAATATATAATGAATTAGCTTACAATCCTGAGGGCAATGCTAGTAATAATGATGGAAGCGGATCAATATCTTACAAAAGTAATAGTTTCGAGATTGATAGGCTTGGGATGGGTGTTTCTAGATTGGGATTTGGAACTGTTGCGTCTGTTGACAATAAAGCATCAAAGACCGGAGATGTAAATACAAGATTTGTTGGATTTGGGTCTACAGGCTTCAACGACGATGATAATTCCAAAGGTGATATGGGTAAGTGAGTATAATAATTAAGTAATAAGAATAGTCTATTTTATTGTGGTTACCATTCTATTCACCATCTTCTATCTATCAGATGCCGACTCTGAATATGCACGACAAAAATTTGGTAATCAGAAAGCAATCTCCTCCGACCAATACTTTGGTCGTAACCAATACGATCCGGAATCATTGTCGCTCGCTTCTGACCGACTTCGACAATTCGAAGGCGCCTCATCGATATCGTCCAGCCAATACTTTGGTCGTGAAGAGGAGGAATCTTCACGTTCAGAAAATATCGATTTTAGTACCTACCAAGTAAACGCCACCGAATTTGCACGAAAGTTTATTGGACAAGCGGCCGCGGATTATGATACTATAAAGACCATGGTGGACAAAGGAAGTGAAAAATTAAAAGATTACATTCAAGAGCTTCAGGTATTTTTTGTTGAATTAGACTCATTTGATGATTAATCTACTTGAAAAAAATTTAATGTTGATTTAATTTTTCGGTTTTTTATAGCAACGGGTTAATTATTAATATTTAGATTGGGAAATTTTACCGTTAAAATTATTATTATTTTTGAATATTACCAGATTTCCTATGGAGGAATTTTTCCAGCAATATTAACAATGATCACAACATACAATAGTCTACATAATCATTGGACTAATAATAAGTTTATTATTATTATTTTTTTTTGATATTTAATAGCCACAATCTCTTTTCTGTCTATATTAAAAAAATAAATATTAAACCAGACCAGAATTATTAATACTACTAAACGCTACCACAAATCATGATGTGTTACGGCATTATAATTTCTCATAATCAAGCTTCGATTCTAGTTTCTTAGCATCGGCTACTTTACGCACAGCTTTCATAAAGTCCTCCTGCACGACAAAATCCCTTTCATTACGAAGTGCAAACATGCCTTTAATTAACGAAAAAAAAAATGCATTAATTTTACGAAAAGCCCTAATTAACGATTCTTCTCAACTAAAAAGAAAAGACCACAAACCAGCTTCGGTGCACACATTTCGTAAGTCGGCACCATTGAAACCGTCTGAAAGTCTAACAATTGCTTCGTAATCTAATAAAATGAATGAAGACAAGAAATTATTATACGCAGCATGTATGATATAATATGTACAATAAAAAAACAAAAACAAACCAATGTCCCCATGTTTCGTTATGGGTGCTGCATGGATTTTAAGAATCTCCAAACGTCCTAGTTCATTTGGAAGTGGAATCTCGATTTTACGATCCAACCTTCCTGGTCGTAATAAAGCCGGATCCAAAGTATCCGGTCGATTTGTGGCCATAATTAATTTTGTCTGGCCGAGATAATCAAACCCGTCCATCTGATTTAAAAGCTACATATATATATATAATTAATAAACAAAAAAATTAACAAGTGTAACTGCAAATATTCACTAAACCAACAGATACAATAATAAGTTACCCGTTTTAATTTTTAAATTACCTCCATCAGGGTTCTTTGTATTTCACGATCAGCACTTGTACCCTCTGAAAATCGTCTACCGCCAATAGCATCAATTTCATCCATAAAGATTATACAAGGTTCATGATCTTTCGCATAACCAAACATTTCGCGAATTAATCTTGCACTTTCGCCAATGTATTTATCAACAATAGCACTAGAAACCACCTTCAGAAAATTAGTTTCCAGTGTACTCGCAACAGCACGTGCAAGCAACGTTTTCCCAGTACCAGGTGGTCCATATAACAGAACACCTTTTGGAGGCTTTATACCAACACGCTGGAAGAGTTCTGGGTTCATCAATGGTAGTTCAATAACCTGTCAAAAGTAAACGTACCATGAAAATGATATTCTCTCCGGATAATTGAAATTATGCATTGATTTTGGCTTTACCTCTCGGAGTTCTCGAATTTGTTCACTGAGTCCACCGATCCCAGCAAAATTTACTTTTCCCGGGTCTTCTAAACTCATATTATATACTAAAGGATCTACTTCCCTTGGCAGCATACGCATGATCGTTAATGTCGTCATATCCAGAGCTACACGCGTGCCTTGCTTGAGTTTCTCCTTGTTAACTTTATTACGGCAACCAACAACATAACGTGGTCCGGAAGAAGCTTTTACGATGACTAAATAAATAGCAAGAATAGGTAAATTTGGATGAGACCTGTGCACAGATCGAAGAAAAATGTAAAAATAAAAATTTAACTTACATCGTTCTTCGTCTAATTGTTTTAGTACTTCCCCGATAATTTGACCGACACTCTGTAAGGCTTTAATATCTTCTTCGGTCTTTTCGTATTGTTTTTCCAAATCACGTAGGCCCAAACGAACTAGAATTAAGAGCAATTCCCCATAGATTGATCAGATCAACCAAAAAAAGCGTTGCCAGCGTGTAATTCCAAGTGTGATTGATTTGGCTTAAAAAATTTCTTCGATAACGATAACAGATAGATAGATAGATAGATAGAATGCTTCGCGGGCATCGAGGTGCTTTTCGAAGTAAAAAATTTGAATTGATATGATATGAAGGCATGATTCATAAAAACTCGCATTACGCGAGCGTTATTTTTCTTTTCTAGGCCAATAAACTTGTATAGAACAAATAATCCATAATAATAACCATTCCCGCTATATGTATGTCTATGGACGATAATTTGACCGAAAAGACTTACACTCTTTCACCTTTTGTTCTATTTCTCTGTGTTCTTGTAGCTTTTTACGATATTCGCTGAGCGCCTTTTGATGGCGTTCAGCTTCAGGGTTAGAAGGGGCCGCGGTAGCCATTAAAGATATTGACTCGATTAATCAGAAAAAAATTTTTGAAATCGGTGTAAAGCTAGCTATTATAGCTGTTAAAACGAACCCGAATTGCGTCAGCATAAAATCAGTAACCTAAATCAAAAGTAACACACCTATTTTTCTCTAGCCTAATCAAGTTAACGCATGTCGTGTGACCTGAGATTTGTGGCAATCAGTGGAAATGAATATGTAAACAATTTTTATTCTCATATTTGAGAATTCTACATTACCACCTTTCCTCTGTTCACTTGACCGCCATCGTCTTTACTTCCTGACATTTTGTTTCCAATTATTCTTTTTTTCTTTTAAGTAGCATTTTTCATACTATTCTCCAAATTTGCAGGGCTTTGAAGAACAGTAATAAGCACCAAAATTTACACATTCACTTGCCACAATGGGTATCGTTAGCAGCATCCCGGATGAACACCCGACATTGTACATAAAAAATCCAGACCGATGTAAGCAACGGGAACCATAAATGTTCAAGCCCTTATTATTTTGTAATAAAATTTAAATTGTCTTTTCCTCGTTTCTTAATTTGTCTTTATTTACTTTTCAAATGTCATTTTGGGATACTAGTTCAAATCACAGAGATAGTAGTATCAAATTCCGCCCACGATCCTTATATAACATTTCCCGCCTTATCGAATCGGATAGCAGCCATACCACAGACAATAGATCTTTTAGAGTTTACGCAAGACCCAGAGCTTCAATCAATATCACCGAATAAATTTTTATTAAAGTTGTTGAAAGATAAAAACTTCAAGCTGAAATTCAAATTTCGTGTTGGTGGAAATTCCACAAATACCGAAGAGTTGAAAGGTTTAACTTTTATTAATGCAGCAAACGAAAAAGAGTTGGCGAGAATACTGACTGTTGAGTTCAATGTCGATCCTAATGTAATTAAAACGTTCCATATTACTATTGTTCTGAAATTCCTAATGATTCAAATAAATAGTGCGTACGTGTGCGAAATCTTAAAAATATAAATTTGGTGGTGAATCTTTTGCTCGAAAGAATGACACAAATATTTGACGACGACGACACTTAACTTATTTGTTTGTTTGTTTGTTTTAATAATATTGCATTCTCCATTTTGGATAGCTACACAGACATGCGAATGTAGCACTTTTAGGCGACTTCACTCCAAAATCGGAAGACATTGAGTGGACATGGAAATGGGTCCCTCCGAGTTTAATGGATGAAGCTCATCATGGTTGGCGTAATCATTGTTGTGTAAGACCAAAATTTCTTGATAATTTCATAATGAAACTCGCAATTAGTTTTTTAACATCATCTTCTATAGTTTGCCGAATATAATAAAAAAGAGCATACTTTTCAAGTCCTTGGATCTTTTACATTTTGGGTAGCTGGTTGGTTGTAAATGATATTTGTTCCTGATTTTTTTTAATTACCTCGCCTTATAAGTATGAATATATCGATTTCGAAATTTCTTAAATTTGTAGAGAATGCAAATCGATTTTCGCTTCATCGACACTCAAAGAGCTTGAGCTCTATCGATAAAATCATGACTAATTTTTCTCAACATGATTCGAATCAACAACAGCAACAACAACAACCACAACAAACCTCAGCATCCTCATCATCATCTCCTGTGCAATTTCTTCCTTCGTCAAGTTCTGATCCCAATCTTCCACCACCAACCATCAACATTTCGGCCGCATCATCATCAATATCTAGTGTTGGAGTAGGAGGAAGGCGAATGTCTGATGACTCTAATCAGCATGAACCTGAAGATGGTCCTCTCTTTCGGGCGACACTTTCCGAGTATGAAAAGAAAACAGGCTCTCTCAAGCATCATGTAAAGAGAGTTTTAAAGACAGCCGCCGGCTCTCATGAAGCCATATTATATAGTCATAAAGCCGATGAAGATTTTTTGAATGCACTTCGAGCAGCTGCTGTCGCACATCCTCAGGCATTCCAGCCACTTCTAGATAATTATTTTGAAGAAGCATCAAAGAAAATATCCACTTTCAAGGAAAACATGGCACATCAAATGCAATCTCTTCTTCTGGAACCCGTTCGAAGGCTGTATGAAAACGACGTAAAAGTCGCCGATACCAAGAAAAAGGAATTCGAGGAAGAATCTCGTGATTATTACCAGTTTTTATCGAAATACTTGTCATTAAAAGTGGACTCGGCGAAAGAAAAGAAAAAACTCGAATCCGATTCAAAGTATCAGAATAAACGAAAAACGTTCGAGCTGAAACGATTCGATTATTATGCGTATATGCAAGACTTGCATGGTGGAAGAAAAGACCAAGAAATATTGTATCATTTGACCAACTTTGCGGAAAAGCAGTACGTTTGTTATCAGCAAACAGCAGCAAATATCCAATATCTCAAGCCAGGACTTGACAAAGTGGCGGCTGCTGTCGCAGAAGCTGCAAAAGAAATAAATCTGATGCGAAAAGAAAGAGAAGAAAGAAGGAGGACACTTGAAACACGAGCATTAGCGGTCAATCCATTTCCAACAGAACCATTTAATGAAGGAGACAGCACAAATCAAAGTATAGGAAGCACATCAACGGGCGATGCTGCAAGTGATGACTATTCGGCAAGTACGGTTGGATCGCCAATAACAGCGCAAAATCGATTTAAAGGTATACGTGATATGGAACATCACGATACTGAGAATGCATTATTGGCTGGCAGAAAGAAAGAAGGTTTCTTATTTGCTACTTCCCGTGTGACACATCATGGTGCGGTCGATCAGTTAACTTTGACAAATTGGCATAAGTAAGTGTACCCGTTTTTTACGACTGTTAATTGAGGTCTTCAGTTAGAATTATTAATATACAAAATTTTTCATTAAGGTATTGGTGCGTATTGGCAGGAGGGCAACTTTGTGAATACAGTAATTGGAAAAAACAACTTGAGACACATAACGAGCCAATTAATCTACGATTTGCCACAGTTCGAGAAGCTCGTGGCATAGATCGTCGATTTTGTTTTGAAGTAATCACACCTCAGTATCGACGAATTTACCAAGCAACTTCAGCAGAAGACATGAACTCTTGGGTGACAGTAATTTCAAATGCCATCGAAAGTCTCTTGAACGGCACAAGTAGTTGTCGCAATTTAGGTCAGCTGTTAGCGCAAGAAGATCATAATCTGAGATCCGGTGATTCCGTGAAAAAACCACTTAAACGAACAGGAACATTAACAAGTTTAACGGATAAAAAAAGGTTTGAACAAAGAAAAACGCGCTCGCTTGCCGCAAAACCTGACGACACTCATTTATCAAATCACAGGATTCCTCAGGACGGTGGTAATGGCGGTGCCGATCCTGCGATTATTACGGGAAAAATTATCGATATTATCAAAAATGCTGATAGCTCAAATTCAATTTGTGCCGATTGTGGTGCCCGCAAGACAGAATGGTGTTCAATTAATTTAGGCGTTATATTATGTATCGGTAAATGTTCTTCCTCCAATCTTTTTTTATCATGCATTCGATATGAAATATTAATCATTTTTATATTAATTCGATTTTAGAATGTTCCGGCATTCACCGTAGTCTTGGAACACACATATCCAAAGTAAGATCGTTGACACTGGATACGATATCTTATACACCTGATTTAATAGAACAAATAAAAATGCTTGGCAATGCTCGATCAAATGCTATTTGGGAGGCTAAACTTTTAGCTGAAGTAAAATCGAGCTCTGCAGAAACTAGACAAAATTCTTCGGATAACAAGTTGAATTCATCACAGATGAATTCCATTATACCACCAGACCAATCATCTTCGACACCACCTAAGGCGGATGCGGCACCCTTACCACCTCCAAAAGTCGATGATAAATCTCTACTAGGCACATCACCAGATGCAGATTGGGTAGACATTATAAATATGATTAACCCATCCTCATCTAGTATTACTACTATTAGTCCTTCTACAAAGAAACTTCCACCCGTTCCTAAACCTTCCAGCAGTGATTCTCGTGCAATCAAACAAAAATTCATCATAGCCAAATATGTAGAACGTGCTTATGTGGATTTTTCACAAGTTGATGAAGATAGGACCGCAACAGATTTATTATTTGAAGCGGTAAAGAATAATGATGTTCCGGGCGCGATGCAAGCGATCGCATTACGAGCGGATGTGAATGCTGCTCGACGATTTGAGGTAGAGAATGATCATGGCTTAAAAACACCGCTATTATTAGCATTACTGCATATCAAGAATCCGACATACTCGGAGAAAGGCACAAAACAATTATTCCCTATGGCGGAATTATTGTTACAGAACGGAGCATTAGTAGAAAGGACATTGGTTGATGAACTTGAAGATATTCTCAGTAGTAGTAGTTCAAAAAATTTATCACGCTCCGCTTCTACAAAAAGTGCAGGTGCATGGGCTGCAGAGGTGGTTGGGGATCTTAAACGAAATGGGAGAACCATACTGGAGATTGTGTACGCTAGTGGCAACGAGGCGGCCGTTAAATATCTTTTGCCAAAAGCTGTCGCACGGGGCACATCTTCACCTACTCCGGGTCACAATGAAAATGGATCAACACAGACCACGAGCACAGGTGGAGTAGTTGGTGGAACAGCTTTAGAGAAAAAGACAACACAGAATTTAGGACGATCTCTGTCAATGTCAGTTCGAAATGCTCTTACATGACTGGTTCATAAAGACATTACCTTTTTTTTTTTTTAATTGTCGTGTTGTATATATATATATATATAATATATAACCATCATAGCATACATATAAGATTATTAATTTGAATTTATTTTATTTAGAATAGAAAATATTATTTATTATATATAATGTACATTTATAATTATTTATACACATGCATTTTATGAGTTATTCATCATTTTATGACTTGTTAATTATTATAATAGGCTAAAAAAAACATACATCTCATAATTTGACCAGCAATTATTTGTTTGAATTATGTATACTCTATAATTATTTTAAGGTACTCTGTCCGACCCATTAACGTCGAGAGAATATTATGATAATATTGATCCACATATAAACACACATTCTCACCCACTACAATGTGATTATTATTTATGATGATTATTATCGTGAAACTTGTGTATTATAGTTCAAAAGAAAATATGGAGAAATTGACAGGGATTTTATAAGAAATCCTGTGCCCGGTATTACCAAAACAAAACCGATCGATATTATTAAGAAATTAAAACAAGAGAGAAGCGCTCATTCATTCATTCTTCTACTTTGTAATCTTACGCCTACTCTTCAATCATCAATTTTTTTATTAACCTGTCCTAAATAAAGATACGGAAAATAAAATGTTAGTAACTAAAGGTAACAATCAAGAAAATTACCCATTTTTATCTATGTTGGAATGGTTTGTTTTCTCGCTTCCATATTTTTTCCTCAATCAAGTTTTGACTTTCTTATTTTGTGGTTCATCCGTTGGCTATATATGAAAGAAACAAAGCGTCAGTTGGCGAGTAAAGATTCACTTGTATGCAATAAAATATAAAATGCGCATACGGGTTTGCTAAAACGTTCGGCCCTTTTCCTTTTCTTTTCTTCCTCGCTTAAAGAACTCGTATTAGAGGTTACCGATGATGTGGTAACATTTGATGATGTATTGACTTTTAAATTAGCATTCTAAATATATGTTATATAATGAATGACAATTTAGTTTAATTATGTGATTATCTATGCATGAACGAGATTTATTCAAAAAAATTTTATTTACCTCTCTCGCAAATTTTTCCGCCCTCTTTTTTTTCTTCTCTTCTTCTGTTTCAGTTACGGGTATACCAAATTTTTCGGCTCTTTTCCGTTTTTTCTCTTCCTCCTCATCAATAATGGAAGCAGTAGTTGTAGTGGTAGAAGAAGAGGCAAATCTTTGTGCTCTGAGTCTTTTCCTTTCCTCTTCATTCAATGAGTCCATGGAACTTTTTCTTGCAGGTGTTGTCCATGCATTAGATGAACTAGGATCGGTAGCAGCATTTGAAAGTTTAAATTTCTCCGTGCGTTGTCTCAATTTTTCTTCATCCTCAGCTGATGTAGACTATGTGAGAGAGAGAGAGAGAGAGAGAGAGAGAGAGAGAGAGAGAGAGAGAGAGAGAGAGAGAGAGAGAGAGAGAGAGAGAG